TGCTGATAATGTTTTAGATCTTTGAGTTCATCTCATGAAAAATGGGTTGAGTTTATATTTTGGTTCAGTGTATGAAGTTCTACAACAATACAGAACCACAATGTTGCACCACTTTGGCAGCACTGAATTCCATGATTGTAATCACATCCAGCTGAGCATTTGCATTTGACTGTTTGTTTTAATACTTTGTTTACCCCCAAGAACACCATATGAAAAGCAGATGTTTTCACAGAACAAAGAGTTGTCTGTGCAGATGCCTCTCTCCATTTTGTTTCTATTGTATGTGGGCAAAGCTGGGAATACAGTACCTTTCCAGGGCGCTTGTGAAATCCTTTGACGGTTCGTATCTGGAACGCAAAAATACAGGATTTTTATTGCAACATAGACTGCAGTGCAGACCATGGAAAACACCTACAAAGTGCTAGAAAAGCTATTGTGCATTTGTTTGTGCAGCAAGTTCTGTGCCTGTTGAATGTCTTGACCTTTTAGTTTACTTCCAGGGACACAGTGGGTCCATGGAGACTGTTCAAATTTGCATTCAAGCACAACACTGTGGAGCAAAGCCAGCAGGAATTAAAGTGTTGCTCAATGCAGCACGCTCGCAAAAAGGCCAAGTTGAGAGTTTAGAAGCTACTGTACAAATGGCGTTAACTCTAGCTTTACAACAGTGATAATTTGATTGTTTTCTTTATCTTCTTTGATATTGAACTGAATAACTTTGGGTTTTGGACTGCTGGGCAGTACATTTAGACTTTTTGAAAACCATAATTATCACTTTGTTGAAACTTAATTGGCTAAACATATACATGATTGATTGGCAGATTCATCAAAAATATATGGAAGCACTTTATTTTATAGCTATTTAATATCATAGTTTTTGGAAAGATTTGGAAAGGTTTAGGCTAGGTTATTTGGTCATTAAGATTTGAAATCAAACATGTTCAATTGTTAAACTTCTAATTATTCTTACTAATAGTTCGCACTTCCCTATAATTAGAATACATTGACATTACCTTTCCAGCTATTTCGAAATAGTTAAGAAAAGCATTAACAAAATGATCACAAGTTGCATCCCACATAATTTTCATGGACTAAAAAGACAAAAAGAAGTGTGAATGGAGAGACTTCCTACTAATGAAAATAAAAGAATGCAAATAGGGTTTAAAATAAAACTGCTGGATTTTTCCATAAAATGCAAATGCAGCTCTAAGGAACAAAAGGATTATGAATAATTTCTAGCTCACATCCCACTGCACCAAGAAGATTAAACTCATATGCATAAACTTCTAAGAAATGTTCAGCTTTAATAAACCTTAAAAAACAAAACTATTATACATTGTTTAACAGTTTGTATGTCGCATATGCACTTACATTTCTACTAAGAGTTGGCTGAGCTGAAGGCTGTTTCAGCTCAGCAGGGATTGTCGGCAGTGTAGGGGGTGTGATTGGAGGAATCCCCGGAGAAAATGGAGGCACAGCATGGGGAAGTTTCACTGCCCAGTCTGCTTCATCTCCAGGGGCTGGGGTTGGCATTTTCCCAATAACCTGATGATAGACCAAGAAGTATTGGAGAAAAATGAGTTTTTACTGTGCTTCCTTGCAAATAAGAAAAGGTGTTTTTCTTTTTTCCAGACATGTGAAAACAGAACAATTGGTACTACGAGTAGTTCCTTTTATTAGACAATAAACACTCTGATTGTTAAAGTAATTATAACAACTTGTGAGATGCATGTTGTCTCTGAAATCAGTCTGTAATGATGACTACTTCTTTAACGTTCCAAATAATTAGTAGTTGGTCAAAATAACTGAAATACTAACCTCGGGTTTGACTTGCTCCATTCCTTGCTTTGCTGGTTCTTGGGGGAGGTACTTCTCTAAACAATCCGGCAGCTTGATGTCGTTAAAGGAGGGCAATGGAGGGCGTGAGTCACCGACCACAGCCTCCACAGCCTGGGCTTCCTCTCTGCTGCTCAGGGCCAGTGTATCTCTGAGTGGAGCTGTTGAACTTGGCTGGGATAAAGGTGGAGCGCTTAGCTGGGGGGCTTCGCTCGGTGACACATCCCCAGAGCTGGTTCCATCTACCTGCGTTTGACCACCATTCCTCTTCCCTCTGAAAATGGAGGAGGAAAGGCTGCTGAGAACACAGCTGCCCTCCAAGCGAGACTTCACCTTCACCTGCTCCTCCTTCTCTTCCTTGACATCCTCCTCATCGTTGTCCTCTTTGTCCCTGAGGCGAGAGCGAGTGTCCAGGCTACTCATCAGCATGCTCCTGTCTGCCAAGCTTGCCCTGGCTGGCTTCATGCCAGATTTTGTGTCCTTGTTCTGCAGCCTGGATAAGAAGCTTGGGGTTTTGTCTACACTAAACTGATCCTTCTTCCTCAAACCAAACTTAAACTCATCGGGGTCAAACGTCTTCTCATGGCGGTCCTCCCTGATGGCGGGCATGGCGAATGGCGGTTGAGGGGTCCGTAGTACGTTGTGTTTACGTGGCGGGAGAGAGAACGGCGAGCAAAGATTATTGATTTTCTCAATGAAATCATCCTCATCTAGGTCACCAGAAGTGTCCAACAGATTGCTCTCACTACCAGAGTAGCTCAGTTTGGGCACTGGGACTTTGAGCTTCCATTTGGGGAAGTCCACATCCAGCCAGCTAGAGGGGGCGTCTTGCGGGGCTGAAGCATCGTCTCTGTTTAGTCCCCGTGGCAAATGGAGCTTCTTCATGGGAGAACACTGGGTTGTATCTGGGGTCGGCTTATTAGCCTGTGGACTCGGTTTGTTATTGACCAGTTCCTTTCCGACAGTGTTGAGTTGCTGGGAATAATCTCCATTAGCAACAAGCGAAACGTCATTGCTTTGTGAGTGCAGTGTTTTCTCAGCTGAGTTCCCTGCCACATTAACTATGGAGCTGGAAGCCTCTCTATCCGAGGGGCCGTGTGCTATTTTCTTTGCGCCCTTGACTGAAGTAATATCACTTGTGCTCTCTGTGGATTTGGAATCCTCACGCTGGCGGCGAGCTGGTTTTATCACATCTCCTGAGACTTTGACTACTGCAGGCACTGAGATGGCATTTGAATTGCTTTTCCCATCAACCCGCCCTGCTCCCTTGCTCCTCTCAGATTTAGATGGAGAAATTGGAGTATGCTCTTTAACAGATGCTTTTTTCTCTGACAGTGTCTGTGCAGCTATCAGCGCTGGAGGGCCATCCCCGGCTTTTACAGTCAATTTCTCAGCTGCTGTTGTTGCTTTGGTAATAGACTCTGAGCTGGAGAACTCAGAATCATTAGCTCCATGTGCACATGAGTCATCCGGTAGATTTTCAGTTTTTTCCACAGATACAGAATGAGGCTGTGGCTCTGTCTCTGTTCCAGGACCTTTTGGAGACTCTTTTTGCAACTCAGAGGGCACACATGAAGCCTGACTCCTCTTTGACGGCCCTTTCTCACTCTTTGTCACACTCACAGCCTCATTAGTCTGGGTGACAGCACAAACAGCAGTTTCTTCTGGATGTGTACTCTTTGTGTGTATGACATGTTTTGGAGCAGGGAGGTTTAATAATGTACCGGTCTTCTCTGAGGACGGAGACACTGGTTCTGGTTGCATCATTTCTGGTTTTATTATGACTTTTCTCTCATCTTTTATCTCAGCATTTATTCTTTCATCATCCCTTGCAGCACTCTCCTTTGTGCCAGAGATAAATTGTCTGCTGTCTGAAACCTTGGCCTTTGTGGTATTTTTATCTGGACGCGGTAGCTGCTGGGGCGTATCTTTGTTTTTCTTCTCCGTCTGATTTCTTTTTTCGCCCTCCACCTTTTCTAAATTCCTCACATCTTCACTCACAGTCTGATTTATTAGTTCTGTGTCCTTGTTTAAGGGTTGTGGTTTTTGTCCTGTGTCTTTCTTATTCTGAAGTTTTACTTTTCCTTCACTTTTAGATGCAGATTGTGTTGGCAATTCTTTTTCTAATTTGGGATGTTCGACAGGTGGCCCTTGCTTCATTGAACGAGTCTTCTCAGTAGGTTGCTCAACCACAGGTGAGGAGGGGGAGGAGGCTGAAGTTTCTTTGCAGTCCTTGGAGGCATTTTCTTTCCTCTGTGTGAATGAGAGCTTGTTTTCCCCTGCCTGTTCCTGCTTTCGGGGTAAAATAACGGGACTCTGGTCAATAGGTGTCTTTGTTCCACTGCGACCAGCAGCACTATCAGGTTGATCTTTGTTGACAGATGGTTCAGGCAATCCCTCCAGTCTGTTGTCTAGTTTATTCATTTTCTCATTTGTTACTGAGACAGCTAACCTTTCCTTTTGTTCGTCTACCACCAGTATCTCCTTCTTAATAGCTTTTCCTTTGGTATCAGAGAGAGATAGTTTGTTTGATGTATTTCCTTGGGCTTTTTCAGATGCTAATGAGACTTCCTGTGTCTTAGAGCCAGTATCATCCACCTGATGTTGTTTATTACCGGTGAGCTCTGCCTTACTTGTTGAGCAATCTGGTTTGTTTTCACCATTTGGGCTGATGGGACTGTCTGGTTCCCTACCTTTTTTTCTTTTAGGTCTGGAGCCCATTCTGGTAGGGCTTTTGGACTGTGGGCTGATGCTATTGGTCAGTTCTGCAGAATCACTAGTCTCCTTAGTTGGATCTGTTTCCAGACTGTTGGATTTCATCCCCTTTACTGCTGTTTTCGAGTCTACTGTGTTGCTTATTCGAGAGTCTGTTGGTTGCTCTTTAGGAATGGCAATCTTTACATCTACAGCAATGGTATCCTGTCCATCTGGTTTTAATGTTATCTCTGACTTTTGTTTCTGTATTCGCTCCTTAGTATCCAGTTGACCCTGATTGTCCAGTTTTGTTGATGCAGCAGCTGCAGCAGCTGCAACAGACGACGAGGATCTTTGAGACATTCCTGTCATTGCTGGCTTTTGAGACACTGCGGGCCTGTTATCGGATTTAGACGCCTCTGTGAAGTTCCTCGCTCGCTCCTTGATCGTCATTGGCTTCTCCCTGACGGCCGGTGCAGTGCCGGACATGGCCATCGCGTAACGTTCAGCAGATTTTGACCTCTTCTCTAACGAGACAAATTCCTCTTTCATCTTCTCTGTGGGTTTTCTAACTGGAGAGACATCAGCACTCCTCTGGCTTTGGAAGGTCTGCTTGTTGACCCTCGCTGCCGGGCGCTCAAAGAGGTTGATTTTACCCGCAATGCGGCCAGTGGCTGGCTTAGGCTCCTCATCGATTTTCTTCAGCTGGTGTTGTCTGTGTAGGATAAGAGATTAAGGTTTGAATTCAGACATATGTTTTATTTTTGCAACATTTTAAACTTAGGAAGTTTATTTTAACTCATATTTATATAAACACACCCTGTCTTCTGTCATGGACAAATGTTATACTAATGACTGGGGGATTTCTTGAGTTAAAGCTGAGCTATTTTTCCATATTTTCTTTGCTTTACAATTACACTCTTAAAGAACAGAGCAGCACTTTGTTTTATGACGCACACTTTTGTTTCACTGTGGAGAGACCTGTAATATTCCACCCATAGCACACATTCTTTTGAAAGCAATGTCATGTAAGGCAAACACCTTACAGGTTAGCTGCTAATGTTGGAGGTACAATACTAGTGCACTAACAATTATTCTTAACAAATATATATATTTTTTTCAAGTTAATATATAATTTGAAGACCATTCCATATACCCTGCAGTGTATGCCACTGTGTTGAGTCATTGTTTCACATACTATACACAGATCACATTCAGGGTAAAGACTTACCTGCCGTCAGTCTCTGTGTTGGGCTTATCTTTTTCTCCATCTTTGGTTTTCTTTACCGCTGTCTTAAATTCGTCGGTGCCTCCTGCTGGACTCTTCTCCAAAGGCACATTTTTTGTAAAAAGCTTCACCTCACTTCGAGAGACCTTTAAACTCCTGCGTTTGGACTCTGGTGTCTCTGTCTTCCTTTCAACTCTGTAAAGACTGTCGTCGTCCTCCATGTCTGAGCCCCTATTTGCCACACATGCCAGACTGGCGGCAATGACTGAGTTTGAGTCCTGGAAGTTGTCAAACTGCTTGACGGCGTCAGGGCAGGAAGTCTCACTCTCCGTGCCTTCAGGTGAAGCCTGAGTGGTGGGGTTGGGCTGGGAGGAGGAGGAGTTTACAGATGATTCTCCCATGTGAGTCTCTGCACCTTTGCCCTGAGGAGTGGTCAATGAGTTATCTGATGTAAAGATTCCCTCTGGGACGGGGAGGGCAGTGGGAGGCATGTTTTCCTGGGGGGTGTTCCCTTCATTCCCCTGAGAGTTCTGTCTTAATTTCTTTCTGGCTGCGTTTTTACGCCCCATTCTGTTGGCCTCTGTTTGTTCTTCAGATTCAGCTTCTGACTGTGAGTCTTTAGGTGATTTCAGTGACACTCCCACTAAGGCACTGTAATAACTATCTGCACCTTTAGCAGGATTCACATTTGTCCTTCTGATCTCTTCACTTTTTGAACTCGAGTTCAAATCAAAACTTGATGATGACGGCCCCTTTCGGATGATTGTTATGTCCTTTTTTGTAACTTCGGTGCGTACAATTTCCTGTCCAGCACAGGTCTCTTTGCCACTGTGAGTCACCTCGGTATCCTCCAGGTACACATGGAGCTTCCTGCCTACATGGGCCTGTGGCTGGGTGTGGGCTCGATCAGAGTCCCGGACCACTCCCTGCTTAGAAGAGGAAGAGAGATGTGTCAGATGACGGGCATTCTTCTCAGGATTCCCGCTCTCTGAAGAACGGTTGCTTCTCTCCTCCCTCTGCCCTTTTCTCTCCTGCCTGTACTCCACAAACTCCTCCTTTTTTGAACCTCCTTCTGCTGTCTCAGTGCTGCTTACAATAAAGCGGTCTCTGTGGGCAGACTGTGCGGCGTTCCGTTCTTCATAGGGGGAAATGTCTCTGGAGAGAAAGAGTGGATTGGGATTGGAGCTCTGTTCCTTCTCCTCCTCCCACTCTTGATTCTTTGCCCGGAGTCTCACAGGCCGCTCACTCTCCTCTTCTCCCTCTGACTTAGGAGCCTGGTCGCTAGTTGGGGAGGCATTTCCAGTGGGACTCTTCGGACCATTTCCCTTCCATGGAGAGAGCCAGCTCCCGATACGGCCCAAGACCCCGGTGCTCTGCTGCTCCTCAGGGCTCTCAGACTAAATAAAAGGCAGAGAATAACTCACATAAATGTCTGAATACACATACAGTGATAGTTAATAGACATGCATATTTTCAATAAATATGCGCAAACTTTAGTGGAGCTGACAGTATTAACACGTGGTAGTGCAAACATGTTAAACTTGCCTATGAACAAAGGAAGGGAAGGCAGGATTGGGATATAAAGTAAATATAAGTAGAAGTTTCCCACAGACATTTTTTAGTAGGGCCATGCATCTCTCAGCATAGCAAATACATGCAGTGCTTATAACCTGTAAGCTTACCGTAGAAAATACCATATCATTCAGATTCTTTATGTAGGATGTGAACATGATTATGGTTTAGAACAAAAACTCCTAAAGAGCATAAAACAAAAACAAAATCATTCCACCAGGAAAAACAACTACAGTGTTAAAAAGCAGAACATGACCAAACAAAAGATATCCTCCGTAAGCAAAGTTATAGATCCATCGTTAACTCTTTTACTTTTAGCAATTCCTTTTGGCAGTAGTTTCAAGTTCAACTCACCCTTAATAAGACACAGAAGAAAATGTTTGGTCCCCCCTCAAAATATAAAGCGCTGTAAGTTTGTAGAGGAACAGAGCTGCGCTAAGCTGCATGTCTAACTGATGAGCATGTTGTGATAAGTCCTCCTTGCATCCAGTGAAGCATCCACAACAGGGCAAACTGTGGCATCGTAGATATTGGCGTTGTAAAAGTTCTGCCCCTGCAGCGGAGTGCACGCAGACTAGTGGTAAAACGACGCATTCAAGTGCCCGTCGTAAAATGTTGTGTCAATATATGAAGCTGGTTATTCATCAGGTGGTCTGACCGGAGTTTTTATTATCCTAATGACTTAATCTGGATACACTAAATGTATTTTAATAACATTTTACCCTCCAAGTTAAAACTAATCTTAAAACGTTTAACTACGTCTACAGTGGGGCTGCTTCAATAGCCTGTGCTTACATCTAGCTTGAAAACACATAAGGGGGAAATATACTGAAATTGTTTATCAAAGTACAAGAGATAGCCTCCTCTACTCAATCATTTTCATTGTATGCACCTTATAAACAACTACACTACATAAGAGAGGCACATGTTGTAATTTTTACTCTATTGCAGAGCTTTAATGAGCAGTTCCTTTCCGATTAGAATAGCTAATATCACTCATATCCAGTGAAAACTATTAGTTGAATTTAAATTACATTTTTTGTGACAAACTACTAGAATGGAATTTATTTTTTTAGCAGTAGTTAAAATAAGCACAGCCATAAAACACCATATCAGTAACATGCAACATAGGCCTACACATTACGTTTAAAGTGATAGATCTTGAAACTCGAATAATTTAAGAATCTATAGTTTGTATGGCATATATTGTTATTTTACTTTCAATATTTCTGAAGGTGTTTTTTTTTCTTATTAAATGTTTTTTCCTAAATGTTTTTTTTTATCTTTAGAGGGGTCACAAGGTCAAGAGTAATTACGATGAATTCTTTTTTCTCCCGTGTTATGTATTTAAAATTGGATGTGGCATAGTTTAGTTTTGGTTGACTCCTGTAATTTTGGTCATTTTTGGCCAACTCCCAACTTTTCAAATATATGTTTTGTTTCAAAGACAAATTACATATGTTGTTTGTCTGTGTGTGCAATTCATATATAGTGTTACTCTCATTACATAACTAGTATTGTGTGTCTCAATGTCTCTGTACACATATTATAGTAGTGGCACAGCCTCACTCCATTACAACAAAACATTAAAAACATAACAAGTGGCTGTACCTTTTCCAATTAATACACATTCACTTCATTAATCTAATACAGTAAAGTCATATAAATTGGATTAGTAATTCTGATTATTTACACAGAAATCAAACATGTGTGTACAGGTAAACTCTAATGTTAACACATCAGCTACGCTCCTCAAGTATCAACGTATCATGTGGCTGTCAAATATGTGAGACATTGCTAAACCTCAGTGAGTCCAAATTTGACCTTGTAGCAAACAAATCTGTAGGCCATAAATACAGATTATTGGAAACCATTTAATAGTAACCAGCTTGTGACTTCTCCAAAGTGGTCGAAAAAAGCATCATTGTGTCGGATATTTATCCAATGGCATGAATAAACAGGTTTGAACACTGCCGTTTAAAAGTGAGATGCATAGTAGTGTGTGTCACTGCTGACTTTATTTTCTGAAGCACCTCTTTCAGTTCGAATGTGTGTTGTCAAAATTCCTACATTTTTGTCAGCCATGGAAGGCAGCAAGAGGCCGTGTGGTCCAAACACATTTTCCAGGGGAAATGACGCAGTCAGTGTGTGGGTTTCAAAGCCTGTTGAATATAGTTTGTTCGGTTTTCCAAACCTGTGAGCCCTTGTTTCACTTGGCGGGCAGCTATATTCAGTCTTTCCATGCAACTTAGTCTAGGAATTTAACCCATTAAAAGATTTGTGTCCATGTAAATAGAGATGATTCCAACTGTTAATTTTAATGAAATAAATTAAACTTTTTTCGGTCTTACTTTTTTCACTATCTATATGGCACATTACCGAGTGCCTTTAGGTGTGGGAGTGGCACTGGTAATTATGGGGGTTTCAAACAAATAATAATCATACTTGCTTGTTATGTTTGACATTTAACGGTTTTAGCCTACATTGTTATGGGAGATTTATGTTTTCTTAACACCTATAACTATGTCCAAAACAGAAATACACTTGAAATCAAATTGTAGGGATAGTAGCCTATTACCCCCCTCGCTAATCTTATATGAAAAGCTTTTTGACAGCCCATGTAATCCCGATGGATGTCAAGGTTTCTACGCACACTGCTCTCCATTACACCAACACAAACAGAGGCCCTATCGACCGAAAAGCCCACGAGTCCCAGTTCACATATTTACAGACACGTCACCAGAGACAGAGTGAGATCTTACCATGATAACCGTGTTTCTCCTGCCTTCTGGGTTGTCTCGGGAATGCAAATGCAGCCTTCTGCAAAAACCCTCATTCAGAATAAAGCCTTTCAATGCCGCCGCCTGTGTGAGGTAACCTGTCCCTCCTTGCACAGGACAGGGGAGTCTGCACCGCACGACACTATTAATATTTAGTGCGGTTCAAAATGAGAAAATAACAGGGCTTACTCTTGGAGTTCGCCACATAGATGCATAGTGAATTCAGCTTTGGAAGTATTTTTTTTTCTCCCATGGCATTGACGGCTGAGGTTGAGGTGGAATCTGCCCGGGCAAGGTAACACACCCCGAGGCACCGTGACACAGCGAGCAGGGATGGCGGTTTATTGAGCAACTGTCAATAACAAACAAAGGGACACTATGGGCTGGGGTTAAAGATGCATAGGGTTGTAGGATATTACCATACACAGGATAGAAACTCTTTTGAAAACTCTACTGTCCTTAGATGTTTAGTAGGCTATCTTATCACACTCTAAATATCATTATGCATCCTCTTTCATTTCAATCTGTGTTTTCATTTTGCAGGAGGCCTCTTAGAATAACCTGCTGGACCTTTGGTGAAAGATATACTTTGAGAGCCATTAGTAAAGTCTATTCTAAAAACCAAAACAAACCGGTTATTCAAAACACACACTCCCACTCAAGCTATTAACCATGATATTAACACACAATGCATTACATTCACACACCTGTGTTTCCGCCTTTCTCTCTTGTCTTCCCATGACTTATTGATGTGCTACAGAAGCTGAAACTTGTCTCATTATTCAACCTATGAAAAATGTACACATCGCCTTTTTCTTTTCTCATGGAAAACCGCATGGGAAAACAACTGTAAATGTTGACCATTTGCAGGCTAGTATTCCCAGTGGAATCTGTCCAGACATTATTTCTACTTTAAGCAGAAGGAAATTGTTCTGGGAAATTCTCCACTACAACCAGTGTTTGTGTGCTCTACTGTGCCAGTGTTTGGAGGCAACATGAAAATGATGCCATATAACAAATCACTCAGAGGAAGCTAAGTTTGAAGCTAATTAAAAACACAAGTGGATTTGTTTGTGCTGCAGACCAAAACCTGGAGGAAAATGCCCCATAATGTCTCCTCACCTCTGCTGACTCCAATTATTAACCTCGATTAGCTCTAGAGCTTTTTATACACTGAAAAAGCAAAACTCTTGGGGGCTGAGACACACATTTTTACTATACTTTAGTGGGCTCCAGTTATGTTTTGCAGTGTAATTAGAGGTTTTATCGTTTTCTTTCTTGGTTCATCCAGGGATAGGTTTTACAGCATGAGCAGAGAATTGTTTTCAGCACAGCTCTCTGTTAAATGTAGACAGTTACAGACATGCTTACCTGGCAGCTGCTCACTGCAAGCGGTCTCCTTTTGTTACACAGAGCAGCTCCACTGGATGCATGTGTAAACAGCTGCTTTGGTGTTGTTGAGGGAGAGAGAAAGAGGTATCCATTCTCTGGATGTAGCCAGACTCTCTTGGCTTGACAATACTTTTGAATCAACAGTCAGCTGGGGCCAAGTGTCAACCCTCTGAAGTTAGAATAAGAAAACATTTCAGGCTGTGTTGTGCCATAGGAAGGCTATTGGGTGCAGTCTTTAGTAGTTTTTTAAGTAGCGATTTTCTTCAACAACTATTCTAAGAGATCTGTGAGGGACTAACATGGTAGGCAGCCAGGAGTCATACATGGATTTCTCAAAAGAAAACGTTTTTATTAACAAAAAAATTAAACAGCATTGACACAAAATGTGCAGGAATGTTCTGTGCCAACTAACCACAGTTTGAAATAACATAAACTGAATACAACTTCACAGACTAGACTAATCAAACAATTCACTGACCACAAAGGGGAATATATACAGTATATATAGCTGGTTGATTACACCACTTTTGAAACATGGGAGTAAACCAAAGACAAAACACCCCCAACTACAAATAAAATAAAAACAAGACAATTGGTCCATCAAAATGCTTATTTAAGTATTCAACCACTAAACACATCAACAAAATAATATAATCTAGAGAGGTATAAATGAAATCTCTAAACTATTAAAATCCCATTCCCCCCTTACAATGTGGTGGGCACTTGGTACATTCTGATTGGTTACTTCCTGTATTTAGATCTGCTTCAGGGTGGGGCATCTTTTGGTCCGGCCTACTGAAGTCCCTCAGCAGCAGCGTCAGCACTGGTAAGTTACCAGTGGTAACTCAAACATGCAAATTAGAAGGATTTAAGACAAACATATACAAAAGTGAACTGAATGTGTGCACTACTTATTGAAGCAACTGTACTGCCAACTTTGGGTGTTGTATGTAATGAGTTGGTGCAGTGAGTCATGAGTGTGTTTATGTTGGACATCTGTTAAACTCAGGCCTTTAAGTTCCTCTGATGGAAAGTATGCTCCAATTTTCTGACAACCCACACAGGTCAGTGCTTTCCGGATGTTTTTTAAGAGAATATATAAACATTAAAGCTAGGGTGGGTAAAATTAGACAAGCCAACAAGAGTAAAGTCAATTTTTTAAATTATCAAAATGATAAAACACTCCAATGTTGCCTGACTCCGGCCCGAATAAAATGATTAGACTTTAAAAGTTCTTTGTTGTTTTTGATTTAGCAGGGCATTTCATATATTGCTCTTGGGATGTAAAGAGTATTTAAACAGAAACAACAAATATTTCCAAAACACATTACCCAACTCAGAACTCGTTTTGTTTTTTAAGTAACAGTCTATGAAAGCTAATTAGCTAAAAATTATAGAAGAAAACCGTAAATGGCAAAAATAAACTTAAACTAATGACAGTTTAAATTATATGCTGGTAAATCTGTTTTGGCTTCACTCTAAGTAGTATTAATAGTAGTAGTGGTATTGGTGGTAGTAGTAGTAGTATTGGAAGTGTTATAGAATATTACATTACATGTCACTTGTTAAACGCGATTTACATACTCAATACTGTGGGCAATCCCCACAGGACCGATTTGGGGTGAAGTGTCTTCCCCAGGGACACAACGACATGCTGACTGCAGTGGGGTTTGAACCTGTGACCCCCTGATCCGAACACCAACTCACAACCCACTGCACCACACACCTCCCGCCTATTGCTGACCACAGTCAACCTAAATGACGGTTGACAGTTTAATTGTATGAAAGATTAACAATATCCAATGTTATTGTAATGAGACGTAGCATATATTTGGAACATCTTTGGGAATTGATTAAGCATTATGTTACATGAGTTAACCTGACAGTGTTTCCCCAGTTCCTGATACCAAAAAGATTATAAACACTAGTTAAGGTGAGCCTCTCCACAGCCGCAAAACATTTTCTTGACTTTGAATGAGATTTATTACATTTGCCTGAATTATACACTTCACATAGCTTAGAAATATTTCAGCAAGTTTCGAGTGCAGAGGCTTTTAAAGAAGCATTCTTCTTCAATGCATTCCTCCTTCAGTGCTTCAGTATTGATCTGTGATGCAGGGAATGCTGTTTTATCTAACAACTCTTTTCAACATTAACCCGGTTTATATCATGACGGCCTGATTGCAACACAAATATGTTGCGTGTCTTTGTTCGTGCAACTCAGAATGTAATTACCATTAGACTGACACTGTGTTGTGACAACCACCAGTTCCCAGAGAATATTCTGTGTTAACAAAACGCCAACTTTTTCATTAATCCCACTCTGTCGCTCCCCCATTGCTTCTCATTGTTGAATATGTCATTGCAAATGTCAACCACAATGCCTACAGGGACCGCCTTGTGGCCTTTGGGGAAAAAGAGCAAATGGCAGTCTTGCTGCATGGAATTGATTGACTCCATTGCCCCCTCCCATGGTTGTTGATCCTCACTACACCATTGGTTAGTAAGTGCCCCCCTCCACCCCTCTAAAAGCTTGTTTGGCGCTAATCTACTGAGGCATGTGGAGTCTGAAGTTGCTGCCAAGTCATCCCTGCATGATTTGTGCTGAAGGCACATAAGGGTAGAGTGGTTGTGATAAAGTTATGAGGCTACATTAAAGGAGAGATTATCTGACATTCACACACCATTTTCAAAACCACTTACACAGATGGAGAGAAATAAATAAGTGTGTTTGTCTTGAGATTGCATGGTTCACAGTTTCACTGAACACCCACTCATTCAGAAATATTAATTGCTGCTACCTTTTAAAGTCTATTTGGTTCCACATCACCACATCAACCATTTTCTATGATATCTTAATTATGTTAGTTTTGACTTCTGTCATTCAGAAATTGGGGGTGGGATTGAAATGTAAATGTAACCCCTCTGCAGCGCTGCCTCAACACGTCTCCTCTAAGGCAACACAGCTTGTTTAAGGGTAAGACATCCGGCAGCAGAGGAAACTTAACACCTTTGACTTTAAGGCAGAGTGCTCGAGGAAAAACCTGAGCACGTCTTCAAGTTTACTCTATTTAACCTCAGGCTTTCACCTTCTGTCTGTATGAATGTTCTGTTTGTCTAAAACATGATTTGAAGGAGTCATTGTCGTGTTAATGTAAATGGACTCTTTGGCATT